TTAGAAAGCTGAATGCTTATATATTTCAAAGAAAACAGGTGTGTAGTTAATAATTGATTTCAATAGTATGTTGGTTTCATGAGGAAAGCTGTTTACTATTGTTTATGACCTGTTCACTGTATATGTTTGACAGCCTGTTATACTGCGGCTCTTACGACCACATGAATTGGAGATGAGGCAACCATATTGGAGTTGGGGATCAGTTGTTCCTGAATGTGATGCACCTAGGGCAGGCCCGCGGGTATGTAAGGACCTTGATGAATTAAACTCTGTTGTGCAGCAGTTGAGGAATGAGGTTGCACTATTACACCGTGAGAAGGGTGAGCTGGAGGAGAGAGTTTTACGCTTGGAAAAGTGTACCAGTCATGCAGACGCCAGCCCTTTTGAGTATGATGGAGAGGAGAGACTTAAGACTGAGGATTCTGGAGAGGAGAGACATAAGACTGAGGATGCTGGAGAGGAGAGACATGAGACTGAGAATGCTGGAGAGGAGAGTGATAAAACCGAAGAAGTTGGAGTACCCGAATCGAGAGAGGAGACTGATAAAACCGAGGAAGGTGGAGTAGACGAATCGAGAGAGGAGTGTGTAAAAAATACGAAAGAAGAGGTGCAATATACAACCCCGAATATAAATTGGGATGATCCAGATGTGATGTGTGTCACCCTTGTTAAATTCCTTACGAATCCTCCTCGAAAGATTGAGATGTCCACTGCGGAGGGTGAATGTGGCGAAGATGTTATAGTTAGGGTGGGGTGAAAGAGGGGTCGGGAAAGGAGTCAGATGGTTGGTCCTGTGATGAAGAGGCCAAGGGCAGTGGTAAGGGAAACTCCATGGCAAGGTCGGGAGATTCCCAATATTTCGAAGGACCCAATTGCTGACCCCCTAAGGCCTGTTCCCCGTGATTCCCTTCTGGAGGTGGCAAAATTTTGCTGGGAATGGGGACAAGAAGTAAAGTAAGTTCCCTTTGCCCGTCCTTAGTGAAATGTAAATGGTTTATTATGATTACCTATTGAGTCACTGGTGAAACGGAATTGATAATAACAATGATTGACAAATATAGTTCATATGTGCGGTTATGTGGAGACGAAGCTATGGAAGGTTCGCATAACTTCTTTGTTCGGTTGCTGACCAAGGACGGTTGGTTGGATGACTCGGTAAGCATTGATTGATTAGTGATTTTGTCGATAAGCCCTTGCTATGTAGTAATTGATTGATTTAATAATGGAAACAACCCTTTTATGTAGAACATTGACATGGCCTTGCATTTGCTACGGGAGCGGCACAACAGGTCTGGCAAGTGGGCGGGTTCTGACTGGACGATACTGGACACCACTTTTCAGGTTGTATTATTTCATAAGCATTGTTTGTTTTGAAATTCCGTATCCGTTATGATGCATAACTCGTGTGCCACTATGCAGAAATGTGCTGCCTTAGATTACACGCAAATGAAGTTGTATATTGGAAAGGAGGAGAGGAAGCACAGCAACGGTCTAGTGGGAATGGTGNNNNGGGTCTGTGAATCAAGTTTTTTTGCCCTTCAACCTACAAAGGCAGAAGCACTGGATCTTACTTGTTATCGATTTAAAAGAGTGTGAGATAAGGGTATATGATTCAAAAGTAGATCTGTGTAGAACTCAAGCCATCCAATGGGCTGTGCAGCCGGTGTCCAAAATACTGCCCCGGTTGTTACACGAAGCTGGATATATTGGCGACGGTCTACTTCTTAAAATTGAGTGGCCAGTTAGTCGCGTTTTGGATGCACCCCCCCCAACAAGTAGGCGGGTGAGTCATATTCGACCTAAACACAGGAGGAAGCACAGCAACGGTCTAGTGGGAATGGTGAAGGGCGAAGGGCTTAAGTTGGCTAAATCATGGGGGTCTGTGAATCAATATGACCTCCAATGTAGAACTAGCCAATATTTCCCATCATGCCATGCCCTTGTATCGGTTGAAGCTCGCTGTGCAGTTGTTGCAGGGATATTAACACGTGTGCTTAATTAGGAGAGGCAATATGACATAACTGGGTGGGTAAGACGAACTTGCAAACTTCATTTCACTGGATGGGCGGTTTGTAATTATGTAGGTAACAGTAGTTGAACTGAAGAAATTCATATAGCTTGGTATTGGCTCAATTCGCGAGATAGAGAACTAACCTTTCTATCATATAAGGGAAGCTCGAAGAACTTTCTTCGCATGCTTGAGGGCATCCTTCCCGTTTGTACGAAGGTTTTGAAAAGTTAGTTTTGAGTCTTACTTGTTAATGAACAAACTCTTCTTTATGATCCAACTACCCCTTTTGACTTAAAATTAAAGAATAAGTTATTTTTATTGGGTTCAAATACAACCTGTACGAAACCGTCAACACATGTTGTTGATACTATGCTGAACCATAAACCGTAGGACCTGCCACACTGTGTTTTCAAATGTGTAATAAATAGGAATGTTTCTTGTTTACGGCAAACAAGATTGTGAAGGTCAAAATACAGGCATATCAAACGTTCTAAAATTCATTTCGTAATTATGCTGAATGATTAGTTCATAATAGTAGATGTGCAAACACTTCTTCATATTTCATAGGTGTCCGGATTAGACAATTACAAAATATATACTTGAAAATCCAAAACAGAACACAATTTATAAATATATACTTGAAATTGCTTGAAGATTTCCAGACGCAAAAAGATTCTTACTTCTTCATCACTTGAACTGCCAAATTCAGAAATGATAGAACTAAGAACAGTAGGAGGATCTTTTTAATGCCCTTCACCATACGAATGACTTCAGCATATGCATTAAGTTCCTTCACAACCAGCTGGTTTTCAATTTCAGATTCAGTTGGCATGTTGCCTCTAGTCACCCATTCATAGCCGCTACACCTTGTAGCTCCCTAAAAAAACATAAGAAAGTTACATTTTTCATTTTCGGACTACAATGTCAGACCCAATTCTTCTACTCTGTAGCAGTTTTCGTTGGCTTAGGCAATGGCCGATCTGAGTTAGTGTTATTGGCTTAGGGAAGATAATACATACATATGATGTGAAGCACTTCCAATACGGTCTGCCCATATTCCTTTCAGATTTCGAAATTAGCATAACCATCTCAGCATTGCAATGCCGACGCCTCTTTGCTTGAGTGTTTGTTGAGGAATTCGACATGGCTTTGCCAGAAGGGAAAATGAAGATAACAGAAGATGACAACCCTTCAAACAATTTGCTCAAAACCCCCAATTAATTTTCCTTAAAATCTGAAAAGGAATGGTTTTTTCTTTTTTGGGGAGAACTAATATGGAGTTTCAAGTTTCAATTGTCCTGTTTTGGTCGTAACAATCCGTGTCTGTGAGCGGCAAATTCAAAATTTGCAGGAATGTTTTTTTTTGTTAACCCTAACCCATGAGTGGGAAAGAAAAGCATTTGTTTAATATTTTTTAACCCTAAGCATTCGACAGTAAACCCTAAATCTTGGGGGGCAAGCCCCTACACCCTTGAAGTCGTTTACAAATTGAATATTTAAGTGGAAACGATTAGAAAATATTAAAACTGGCGTGTGGCGGCGTGGGAGCGCGCCGCGTGGCAGTCAGACTTGCAGCTCCCCACTCCAGCGCCTCCACTTGGCATTTCTTGTATATTTTATTCAGTTTTTTTTCCCAAAAATCGTTTAAAATACAGGAAAATTAAGGAAAAAATTGGGAAATTTCCTAACTCTGTGTGGGGATGAATACTTCATACGGAAAGTACAAACCCTGGTTTAGGAGCGAGTGAAAAATAAAATTTGGGAACCAACCCTACATTCGAATGATGCAAATGAAAACCCTAGTATACTTTGTAAACCCCATACTCTCATATGTTCGATCACATTAATCCCGTATCCAAATTTGTTTGTCCCTCCCTTTTTCCGGATATGTCATCGAAGGAAATCCCGTCCCGATCACTGAGGAATTTTTTGGGATTTTTTCACCATCAATTTGGATTTTTAATTGAGTATTGAAGTGGAAACGATTAAAAAATATTAAAACTGGCGTGTGGCGGCATGGGAGCGCGCCGCGTGGCGGTCAGGCTTGCAGCTCCCCACTCCAGCGCCTCCACTTGGCATTTCTTGTATATTTTATTCAGTTTTGTCCCCAAAAATCGTTAAAAATACAGGAAAATTAAGGAAAAAATTGGGAAATTTCCTAACTTTGTGTGGGGATGAATACTTCATCTGGAGTTTTGAGTTAATTATTGGCAAAATGTTTTTTGTGAAAATTGATATGTAATTCTTGATGTTAGTGAACAGGGATTTCCGTACTATGGGATTCAATATATTTTTTTT